AATAAAAGACAGAACCTTTGTGTAAATATTCGTCATATTTGAAGCGGAGAGGAGCACCGAGCGGACTGACCGGGGAAATCTCCAGTCAGTCTACCTGGTGGCATTAATCGTATTAATCATCAAGTGCCAAAAAATAATCGATTAATGTTTTTCTGATGATTAATTGCAGATGATACGATTATGCCCAACCCTATTGCTGATCACTCAAAATTAAGGAAATCGGGATCGATTTACTGTGCACATCTAACTAAAAGTTTAGTCAAATAAGAGGAGAGCTCTCAGTCTTTAAAAATGTCACGGTGACGCCAGACAGAGGCCGTCAGCTACATTCCAGCGTCACCATAAACTGATTGCTCCAAAGCATTCAGATGAAGTTCGAGGACGTGTCCTCACATACGCAATGAGAGACGGGATGCATAAACCAAATAAACAAGTCTTATCCTTCTGCAGTCTTTGTCCTGCTTCACATTTACACAGAAGAAATCACTTCTCTAAAGGCTAAAAAGRAAATCGCAAAAGCCTGCAGCAAAAGGTCGTCCACAGATGGACTTGTTTGATTGGTCGGTTTGTAAAAGGGAGTCCTCGCAGATCAAGGACACGCTAATAGACCTCCACTGACCTTTGTTGAGCTGCGTTTTCTCTCAGTTTGAAATTACAACTCAGACGACACTTCAGTGCCTCCGCCAGGATCAAATCACGTCTCGTGCAGATTTCAACTGACAGCTACGTCTCCAGAAATCAACTCTGAAAATAATTATTTCATTTCACAACCTTCGAACGTGGAAAGAAGCCAATGCATATATCCTCTGCTGTCTGTGTGAAATACTTCATTCACCTTCTAGAGTCTGAGCTCTATGTTTCATTATTACGATGAAAATGTGTCATTTTTACAGTGACTCAGGTCTCTGTTCTTTCTTCCTTATTTCTGTTGAGCAACTTCCCTTACATTTCCCCTCTCAGTGTCCAAAGAATCATTTCAATAAGCTTTTTTTTTTTAGAAAATCTACAAGAACGGTTCAACTGAAGACAACAGGGCTGAAAATTTATTGTCACAGCTGTATCAGTGGGTGTGGATCAAACTCACAAAGGGCTGCTTGAGTGGCAATAAATCATAGGTTATTATAGTCCAAGCACCATGTACTTATGCCCTGCTTGTCAGTAATAGGTTCGGCCAATCCAACGGCCCCCCCCACTGCCCTTGATGCCCACACGTGTTTTATTTGAGATGCTAAAACACAGATATGTGATGACYCAAGAAACAGAGAAGTGAAATTAGCAACAGTAATGTCACAATCATGTTTTTTTCCTAATATTCTGCAGCTCTAATTAGCAATGCATTTATTATGAAGGACCACTTTAATCATTTTCAGTCTCTGCAACTTCAAGAGTCTGACTAATCAGCCATTTCCGAGACAAACATCCAGCAAGAAAAGTCTCTGTTTAAAAGTTGGCAACAAATTACATCATTTCCAGAGTTTTTAGACAGATGGTTCTTTAGAGGAGATACTGTATATCCTGRTTTTAAATCCTTCCTTTTCAGATTGTAAGTCTTTCAGTTTGGGTCTATATAAAGTGGAACTGCAGTGCTTTGTTCTGAATTCCTCCTTACTGCAGCTCAAGATACGAATAGCRAMCTGCGCAGAAACTTTTTATTTACAAATGAATTAAAAGATGTCGACAACAGAAGACTTGTTGATCAGCCTTACATGATGGAGCCAGAGTCTGACCCAGAGCCAGAGGAGAATGAACACGATGAACCTGGAGAATTGCAGATTTAGGAAATTGGTAATCTGGAAGTCTAAGAGTTTGTTTAGCAGTTCTACAGCAAATATTGTGATGTTATTATTCAAAGTACGTAATAAGGAATAGAGAAAACTGAGCAGAAGAACTATGACCTAAACAGAATATAAAAGGCATCTACACTAGGCCTGTCACAATAACAAATTTTACTGCATGATAAATTGTCTCAGAAATTATTGCGATAAACGATAATATTGTTTGAGATCAGTTTAAAATAATATAATGACATAACAACCCATGTTTACAGACATTTGCATTAAAGTTTACATAGTGTAAAAAGAAAAAACAACTGTCTGCAATCCCGAGGCATCACCAGCTGTATGAAGGCGTCGGAAAACTGAAGACGTTCCTCTGGCTAAAAGCCTGTTCAA